ATTGATTTTGATAAAATGACGTTTGGGAATAATAAAGGCCAAGTTCCGGTAACTGTTAAAAAAGAGGTTGAACTAATTAGGTGCCATCAAGCTAAAGTCAAGCCGACTGAAAAAGTTGATGATGACGAAGTGGAACCAGGTATCGATATTAAAGCAGAGCAGGAGAAAGATCAAGATTTGAAGCCAATAATTGATTTTGTAAAAGCAAGTGTTTCGCGCCCTGCTTGGGAGAAGGTGCCTAGTCTAAGCCCTGTGACAAAGCACTATTGGGTGCAATGGGACCAGTTAAAGCTTGAAAATGGTATTCTTGTCCGGAGATGGGAAACTACAGACGGGAAAATGACGACTTGGCAAACAGTTATACCGAGGAAGTTACGGGAAGTTGTGCTGCATCAATCCCATGATAGTTTAACAGGAGGACATCTCGGAATTAAGAAGACATTGAGTCACCTACGACAAAGATTTTACTGGATAGGTATGACGCAAGATGTGGAAAAATGGTGCAGGACATGCAGTACATGTAGTGCTAAAAGGGGACCCAAGCATAAGGGACGCCCACCTTATGAAGAGTTGCCTGTGAATATGTCAGAGTTTGTGGAAGTTTTATCGTAAAGGATGGATGATATTCGCCATCAAGTGCGTTCAAACTTGAAAACGTCTGCTGATTCGATGAAGTTAACTTATGATAAAAGATCTACTAAAGTCAGCCTTGAACCAGGAGACAAGGTGTGGTTGTATAATCCCAGGAAGACCAAAGGGAAGTCTTGTAAGTTGTCTTCTCCATGGGAAGGCCCATATGACATAGTGGATCGTCTCTCAGACGTGACTTTCCGGGTAAAATGTGGTCGGCGAGGTAAGCCAAAAGAGGTGCATGCCAACAGGCTTTGGCGTTATCATGGTCCAGGACATTTCAGTTGGGACGAATTGGACAACAGAACAAATGACGCTGCTGAAGACGTGCCACTTGAAGAAGCCACCATCGAAGAAGAAAGTCCTAACAGTCACATCAGTGGTAGTAACTTCATCAAGAGCTTCACCGTTTCCCTTCTCAAAACTGAGTATCGACCATAGGGCATTTCCTGATGAAGCAGATGAACCCCATATGAAGCAGAAGCCAACAAGACAGAGACCAGTACGGAAGAAGATACGTCCTGTAAAATTAAGATACTTTGTTGAATTGTAATTTTGTGTTTGTAATTCTGTATATTTAATTAAGTTGTTGTTAACTGTTATTGGTTCAATGTAAGATGCTATTGTTCGGGATGAACAATACTAAGGAAGGGGCAGTGTTATGACAACACAGGTCACGTGACGCTTGTATCACGCCACTTCCTTCTCAAACCTTCATGAAATGTCGGGAGACTACTAGATTGGGGTAGTCTTGTATATATAAGACCAGCCAAGGAGCAACGTAAGGTAATGTGTAACTGAACTGCAGAGAGAGAATATTGTTGAGCACGTGAGAATATTGTTGTGAATTATAGCGTTTGTTATAGCGCAACTGTTGAAATTAAGAGTATCGCAAAGTTGTATTCAGAAAGAATAAACTAGTTTTATTTAAGAAAGGACTTGTATCGGTAAAGTTTCTTCGGAAAGAATTTTTACGGAAAATTAACGAACGAACGAAGACTAACAATATGTACAAAAATTCATTACACTATTGTTTACCACAGTTGAATCTAGAGTTTTAAATGATTATCTTTTTTGTCAAAAGTCCACACATGCTGGTTCAATTACTTTAGAATCTAATTGACAAAACGAATTCTTCTTCTCTATCTCTATTGTTACAATACAAACTGTGAAACTCACTTCAAAATACCACTATAATTGTTGGTTACCACAGTTGTATTCAGAGCTTTAAATAATTGTCTTCTTTTTGTCAAAGTCCACACAGGTTCAATTACTTTAGAACACCCTTTGACAAGATAAATGTTTTTTTTATTTCTTTTATTACAAGCTGTAAAACTCACTTTAAAAATCGCATGTTACAGCTAAACTGACAAACATACAGTCTAATTCCACTTTTAGTTTCACAAACTAATTTCTTTCTTCACTTCCTCTATGTATCTGCATGTATTTATAACATGCAACAGAAAAATATAGAAATATCTACCCCTCTAGTAGCAACAATATTACAAAAGCCTAGTACAACAATTAAACTACATACAAAATGTAGAACTTGTACAGAGTTATGTAACAACATTTGTCATAACTAACATTTTTTAAATAATTAACTATAACACTCTTATTATGAAAACTAAATAATCATTAAATATTAAATGAAATAAATATTACCTCTTAAACTGAACAGTCTTATATATCCAACAAGGTACAAACTTAAATTCTATTCTAATGACATCAATATGATCATAAGTTGTTAAATTAAACACAGGATATGAATCCATATTTAGAAGTTTACTTACTATACATGTAGAACAAAAAAACTGAATATAGGTCAAAGTCTCTTGTAAGAAGACGTTAGTATAAAGAGACTCTACATCAACACTAGCCATGTAAAAAATCAGATTAAATTTCAAATTCTGCACTGACATTAAAAACTCAAAATACTTTTAATGGTAAACTCATTACACCTACACTGCCAATACTAAAAACCATTTTATCTTATTTCAACTGCAATAAATATCTTTTTATTTTTTATCTGTAGACATGTTTATTAAACTTCAAAGGCTTTGTTCTAATACTGAATATATGGTTGACTTTCTTATAATCTTCTCTATTCAGAATTACTATCTTACTTGTTTTACCTGGTTTTGTTATAACTAAATCAGTACATTTCCCAAGGTAATAAGAGATTGATATTATTCTTGAGATATATAGTATGATTTCTTTCCTAAATTGCAGTTGTAAAAAGAAGACAGTGCTGGGGTTCCAACTATATCAAGGTTCTCTTCAGTTTAAGACATAACAATCCATTTAAATGTCTTAACAAACCTTCAAAATATGACAAATAAGTATCAAGTGTAATGTCTTGAAAACCTAGCATTGTAAGTCTGCAGACATACTGCTGTGCCACTGGGGGGCATGAATTAAGACACCTTCATTCAACACAACATAGAAATTTGCTTATAACTATATCTGATGATGTCATCTATAATCTTTGTACTTATAAACTTAACGAAATGTGAAAAAAGGACATTAGAACATTGAAATCTGGGTTTTGATACCCATGGTGGGCAGAACACAGATAGCCCATTGTGTAGCATTGAGCTTAACTTCAAATAAACAAACAAATCTTAATTCACATAGTTGTGTCTCTTCACAGGAAGGGAGACTTATTGTATTTTCTATGCTTCTTTTTTTTTCTTTCCCACAATTACAATTGTGTGCTACACTTCTTTATTTCTGGGTTGATAATCTTGAGATTTGGAGGACATATACCTTGGTCCAATATGCTCAGACACCTTTATCATTTTTTATTTAGGCCTCCATTGCAATTTTTTGGGATCAAGCATTAAAAAAACAAATGCTTTCCCGTGGACTTCCTATATATTTCCATCAATCTAAATAACATTTTGCACAAAGATACCTTGTGGTGACTTCACAGACAGATTTGGAATCTGTGCCTTTATTTTCAGGGGTCAAAGGTTAAAAAGAAAATCCAAAAATAGTGTTTTTGGTCTGTTATTTATATATATATTTGAACTAATCTAGATGGGATTTTGCATGTGTCTTGATTTTAACCTCCAATAAGATAACCAAGTTAAATAAAACTCAGAACCCTTTATTAAACATATAAAATAGAGAAAATAAACAATAAAACAAAATTAATGTTAAAAGTTATTACAGAAAAAAAGATACACAACATTCACAAAATAAAGAAAGGACAAACATCATCACAACACTGAAATAAGCACTGAAGGAACTCATATGAACAGCAGAAAGTTCCTAGAGTAAATGTTAAACAAGTACAAGGTAGATGCCACGTAAAAATGCTATATGCTGGAAGATAATTTACTTATAGACTCTGTCAAAGGAAAGCATGAAGCATGGATATAAATAGAGTGAGTTTTACACAAGTTTACTGACTGTAAATGGTAAACAGTAAATAAGGGAGACGAAGTAAGGAAAGCAAAAACAAATGTCATATTTTTGGCATAAATAAGAGATTAGTACAAAAATGTATTTGAAAATACAATTTTATATATAACTAAACATGGAAATAAAGAAGAGGAATTTTTTTATGCCTCATATTGATTTTTGTATGATTCTTGTTAGATAATATAAAAACTAAGTCATATCTCACAAGAGAATGGAAAGATATAAACACAAGGGTGACATCATTTAACTTAAGCTAAAGCTAGCCTAAACAAGCATCATCACATGAAGGAACATGCTATACTTGGTGAGATAAAGTGATTCCTATAGCTTTGGCATAGCTCTTGCTTGTGAATCACTTAAGCGGTAGTTTAGTTTTTCACGTTAATGTTTTCTTTTAGCATCTTATATGTTTAAAACAATATTCTTTTCATTTTTTACTAACACATTTTGATAATGTAATGCCTCAAGTCCTTCAAAAGCTTTTTTTATTTTTGGAATGCTTACAAATAACAGTGAAAACAAACTATTAATGTTTATAACTATAAAAGATATACATTTTTCAAAATGAATATGAAAAATAAAAATATATTCTTACTTATTATGAAAGTTGTAAATTTCCATCATATTTCCAAAGAGAGTTTCTCCTTTTCCCGAAAGTGTTTCTGGGATATATTCTTTCATAGCTGGGCTGTCCATTTCTCTCTTGTAGCCCTAAAGAATAATCACACAAAACTTTGTGTGTTTATCAAATCTGTAATAAATTAACTTTTTTTTACCTATGAGTGTGTTTTATGTTTTGATTACAAATGAATAGAAAGCATGAATATTAACTGTGTTTAAAATTCTTTATACCATAACCAAACTATACTTAACTTATACTTGTCAGGGACCTAAAGGCTACGTAGCTACACATAAACAAAAAAATATACTTTGTACCATCCAAAACAAAAATGATCAGCAAAGAAAGGACAGATGTTTTCTTTTTGTTATAATTTGATTTTATCTTGTACTTACACAAAAATCTAAACGTATTGTTGCACCAGCGAGGTCACGTGACTAGTATCATGCCATGTTTTCTGTTCCATCAAGAATGCCCTAGCATTTACTATGTTACGTCTCCGTTTGTTAATTAACTTTCCGTAACTTCGTTCCAACGAAACTTAAGCGACACAAGTTCTTTCTTAATAAAACTGGTTTATTATTTCCGAATATAACTTTACCAATGCACTCAACTTCAACAATCGCGCTAAACAACGCTGTAACGTCTCTCATGTTCTCTAACTGCAGTTCAATTACTCACTGTCTACACACACATTACATTCCCCTCTTTTATATACCAGCCTACCCTATATCTAGTAAGAACTAGAACATTCGCCAAAGTACATGATAGTTCTAGAAACGTTGCATCACAGTAGTCATGTGACTCGATGACGCAACAACTAGATATGTGTTAGTCTTGTATATATAAGACGTTCACAACATGACGGGACAACAGTATAGAACAAATCATTATGAAAGTGAAAACGAGCAAATTACATAGCAAACCATGAAGCTTCAATAGGCACTCTTCACTATCTATTTCTTAACTGTCCTAACTTATATCAAGAATTTCTTGCTTTAAGTTCCTAACGAGAAGAATTTACTGATTAAAAGTTGTGATTTATACGTACAAACTTTGAAATTCACTTTAATTATACTTTACATTACTTAAAAATAATAAAGTATTTTTATTGAAAAACAATCAAATAATAGTTAGAGGTTCTATGTTTTCTAATTTTGTCCTTATAGGCACAATATTCAGGCTGGAATGGATGGGATTCAATATAGGGTCTTCCAAATTAGTAGAATGATGGCAATAATTCACTGAGGTGGGTTTATAACTCAGTAGATAAGATACAAGTCTACTAACCTGGAAGACCTGCTTTCAATTGAGTTTATTTCAGTCTTCATACCAGAACAACACACAGAAATGAAAGCAGATTTAAAGCTTATATGGTTTGAAATTAGATAATATTAACAGGTAGGCATTAAAATATGTGATCAAAGACCACTAACCCCCATCACTGTCAATGTACACTCCATATATTCTAGGATGTTCTTAACTGTATGCTATTTAATGAAAGTTAAAATCTTCCAGGCTACATACCTGTATAATACTGTTGAGCTCTAATACATAAATTTTTTCAGTCTCAATTAATTCTGTCATGACATGGCTGAAAAAACAACAACACAATATTACAAGAAAATCACCTTAAGATTATAAGAATACTGAGAAACAGAAACAAAAATATATTTTAGATTCTAGAATAAATTTTTATTGCTTAGCAATATGATGAAATCACAGACAAACAATTCTTTTAATTAATGATGATTTTTTATTAAATGTTTCTAATTAGAATTTTTAACTTTTAAGAAAGATTTTCTATTGATTGGTGTATTCTTATGAGCAATCATTCTTAGGAACATACTAAGCATAGTTTTTAAATTTTCCCAGAATGTTTTGCCAAAAATATTTTTCAGATTTTCCTTATTTTGGGTAAGAGACTCTGAATGTTACTTCTGATACTATGAAGTTAATTCAACACAGAATAATTCCAACATAATTTTACATTTGGATCTTTCCTCTCTTTCCAAAAGGTCAAGTTACATAAGACATATTCATTTTGTTTCTGATTTTTTTTATTATATATAGATTTTAACTTCTAAACTAGAAAGTTTTCTATATAAAATACATTAAGTTAACAAACTAAATTACAAATTAGTGAGCAACTTTTTTGAATTTTCTGTAATCAATCTGACTTTTGATTACAATGCTGAAATCATTAGCGAAGTTAAAAAGTTACCATTGGCAACTAAAAAATAGTCTGATTGAATTGGCTTACATGATCCTGAAAAACTCATTCTTACCCAAGACAAGAAATTTTGGTTAAACACCATACATGGTATAAAAACTTGGATAAATGATAATAAAGAATAAATTTACATGTCTAAATGAAAGCTTTTTCTAGTATATTTTGTGTAATTTTTCAAGCAGATGCCTTTCATCAAGCAGTAAAGACTGTTACAATATATATATATTCTTTATAACAATGGAACAACATTCATTTTTGGTATAAAAAATGGTACCCTAATGGTTCAGCAGTATGTCTGAGAGCTTATAATGCTATAAATTATGTTATGATACTTATGGTGCATAAAGCACAAATAGCCCATTGTGCAGCTTTGAATTTTCAACAAACCAATAAAAAGCATACTCACAACAAATATTATTCTATCAAATGAAATTTTAGGAGTAATATTAACTACTCATTTTTCAGCCAGGTGTTAATATTATTAAATGTTAAGTTTGTTTCATAAGAAGAAACTCAAAAGGCTCTTGTGAAGAAATTAGAAATATATCTCGGACATAGACTAGCCATGTGACTGAGCTTTATATTTTTTTACTAGAAACATGCAATAAAAGAGAATATTAATTAATGTTACTTTACAAACATGTTTGGAATATTCATAATATCCATTAGTTTCTTTAATATTGTAGATTCCTTCTAAAAATTAAATAACTGTATGAAACAAAAAACATTTTCAGCTTTTACAATGTATGATTATATACCGTCTTCTATCCTTCTTCACTTCCTGCTGGTTATGTGGCGATTGTAGTTCCAGTGAACAATATTCTTGTAGAGAGGGTAAGATGCTGTTAGGTTCCCCTAACCGCACCTCAATGTGCATCTAAGAAAAATCAAAAACAAACCAAATGCCCTTTTATTTTAAAAACATATAACACCACAAATCTCATGAACTTCAAAGAGTATAAAAGTTCATGAACTATGTGGTAATGCAGTACCCACAGTTTTTTTATCAACAGAAGAATAAACTATGACAATGAAAATGATAATGACAAAGCTTTATTAGAACACATCAACATCATATACAAAAAAATGTCATGCAGAAATTAATACAGAAATGTAAGGAAAATAGGATTACTTCTTTTGGAATTAAATATCTTAGTTATCTAAAATAAAAGCACATTACAGAATCAAAACATATAAAAATTATTCATGTTTATGGTTCAGGACTTCTTTCTAAGCTTGAGAAAACAAAAATATATTTTCCATAAAGACATAGCACCTATTTATGGCTTTTATTTTTACCTTTTTGAAAATATATTGATACTGTTTGATTGTCTTAGCTTACAATGGTATGCTAACAAATTTAAGTTTTAACCTTATTATGATGTCAGACGAAATTGAATAAAATGTTCTATTTTTAAAATCTTTTCATTAATTGTAACCCAGTTTTAACTCTAATACATTTAATTCTAGTAACTTCTAACAATGAAAACAATATTCAAGTTTTATAAAATATAAAACCTGAATATCATATATTTATATTAAACAGAAAATTCCCCAATTTATATATATATATATATTGAAAAGATAAATAAAAAAAACATTAATAACAATAATATATACTTCTAGATAAATAATCTTACTTTTAGTACTAAGTCTAAAAAACAACGTAAAATAATTTTGTTTACAATTCGCAATACAACACTTTGGATGTGATTAGGAAACTTATTATCTTTTTATTATTATGCTGACATGTCAGTTTTTATTATCCTCTTGTTGTCCGTGCATATTAAATTTTTGTCCAGAAAAAAACTAAGATATGTTTTCACTTTGATCCTAAGAATGGAAAAATTTATTGCCATATGAGAATTTCCTAATTCAAATTATCACTTGTATCTGTTATATTAAATATTCATTTTCAATATTATAGTTACTCTACATGAACTAGGACCTTAGCTATCATAAGCATTACAAAAATTCTTGAGGGTTTTTCATTTTGTTTTTTTAGCTTGGTGTATCATGTCTAGTTAATCATGTTCAAGGTGGTCAAATCAGATTATGCTTAGTAATGACTTAATCTGTGCCTTGATTTTTTTAAATTGTTCTGAAGTTATCAAACACAAAGAACTGTTGTCAAAAATAGGTTTTGTCAAATAATAAAAACATTTAAGTACAAAAATAAACTATCTTGCAATCATGAAATATATTGATCACTCATATTGATAATTCATATCAGTTAAGTTTTAGCTTTTAATTTTCAATAATGAAAGACAATTTACAATTGTAAGCCTGAATAATATTTTTAAAACTTTACATGAAACATAAGTGATGAAATTCATGCAAACAATAATAAAGTATGCATGCAGTGCTGGTAATAACACTGTAATTAGACAAAATTTATTAAAATTTCAAATTTTACATAAAAAATTATTTCTTACAACAATCACCACCACAAAATCTAGGGAAAAAAACAGAGTTAAATGTTTGCTTTATATGTGATTTGTTCTGCTAAATGTGCTTATACAATACAAATTTTATATAAAACAACTTAATATATAAGAACTAAAATTAATTAGTTTTAATCATACATATATATAACTCTTGAAATATTACTCATTTAAGTACCTCTGTAAGAAATTTTACCTTAAATACAATTTTTTGTGATAAGATATAATCTTTGAAATTAACTAACAACAATTCTTTACAACATGAATAAATATATAAACTGTGTGACCAAAAATAGCCAGTGCTCAAAAACAAACTCTGAAATATGTGAGAAAATAAGTTATATATATTCTTATAGTTCTCAGGTAATTAAAACAATTTCAATTATTAAACACTTGTGACATTATGTAAGAAAACAGCATTAAATGATTAGCTAAAAATTAGAACTGGATGCAAATGCTCTTTGACTCAATACCAAACCTAATATGCTTAAAGTGAAATAAACTGAAACTCTCTTCACTACTACATCAGCATTCAAGTTGTTTCAAATTAATTAAATATGTCAGAAATGTGTTTTCAAGGTTTAATAAAATAATATAGCTCTTCTTACATATTAAAAAATGACATCACATATTGAACAAAATATACTTGTGAAAATTAAATGGCTTAATAATCACTGATAGACTGTAAGATCTTCATCTCATCTTAAAAACCATTGGCACCTTGTTACTTAACACTGTCTTTGTAATAATTCAGTTTTATTATAAAGAGTGAAACATTTTTCTGTCAGTTTTTATATATAACAGAAAGATATTCAATACAACTTCATTATCAAACTTCATTGCAACATTATATTTTTACTAAAATTGTTACATAAAATCTATAACTTTTCAACATTCAGCACTGATATGATATGTAATGAACTGATATTTATATAGATCAGTAAAACAGGTCTGTGATACATCTGTGCACCTCATTAAGCCTCTTTTTTTACACTAAACATTCCACATGAATATAACATTGTTTGTAACTTTTTACTTACATGAATGTTTGACAATAACTATTCAAAAGATACATCACTGGAATCTCTTCATCAATCAATGTAATTACTTATATATACAGCACTGGAATCTCTTCATCAATCAATATAATTACTTTTGTATACATCACTGGAAACTCTTCATCAATCAATGTAATTACTTTTGTATATACCACTGGAATATCTTCATCAATCAATATAATTACTTTTGTATACATCACTGGAATCTCCTTATCAATCAATGTAATTACCTTTGTATATACCACTGGAATCTCTTCATCAATCAATATAGTTACTTTTCTATCATCACTAATTTATTACATTTCCATTAGAAAATATAGTTTTAGATTGGAAAGATAAAATGATAACAAAAATGTTTCAATACACACACACATTTAATTTAATATTTAAAAGAACAATTTTAAAAGATATGTAGTAAGGAGGATTGGAGGAGGTACATGGTTATACTATTCTTCCCAACTTCAACTTAACACAATAATTTAGCACAAGAGAGTAAACATAGGAATCTCATAAAAATAAGTTAAATGGGTCAAACATAAATCTAAGAAAACTACAATGTATAACATGTTTACTAACACTGTAAATAAGATGTTCTTGAGGACAACTGATTAAAAAAGTAATACTCTGTAATTCATGATTATTATAGATCACCTATGTGTCCCTATTACTTTTTAAATGTATTATTCCCTCTGCACATACCAACTTTTATGAGAAAATTAAATATACTCATTTAAACTTCTGTAATTTAGAACAATTAATTAATAGTACCTATACAGTAGAGGATACAAAATACTTTATGTAATAGTTGAAAAGACATTTTGCATTACTTCATTATTCAACCATGAAAATATTTTACTCAGTCTTGTTAATTAATAATAGCTGTACAGGTAAATAATAATGATTTATACAAATTAATTCAAAATTAACACATTATTTAAAGATATCAGTATGATGAGTATCCTTTCTATAGATCTTACTATGTAATCTACATTACACTTTGGCTATTAGGGGTATTATGAAAGTAATCAAACAGCGTAGATAATGGGGGGGGGGGGGTAAAATTACTACGTTTTAAGCTACTTTATATGTGTGTATAATATATATATTAACAGAGAGTGAGAGATAAATTCAGCACTAAGTGAGGGCTTCACAAGTTTTATATTTCTACAAACTATGCTATTGCACAGAATTAGTGATATAGCCTCCCACTAACAACTGTAACCAATATGCAAATTTTCTTTATTTTTTTACATACATTTTTTTTAGTGGTTTAACTATTTCCACAGTAAAGCAAAATGTTAGCATTTGAAAAAATGATTCATTAATGATGATAAAATGAACAGCTAGCAAGAATTCTGATGTTCAACTATTTAGATTAGAGAATTTGTAACCTGAAGATGTTCTAAACATTGAACTTGCTGCATATTTCAAAACACGTTTCTTGGCAAATCAATCAGCTACAGATGAAATTAAAATGCTTACACAAGTTTATTTATGATTTTAAAAACTGGTAATTTTTCATAACAGAATTAACATAAATTAATCTATAACTAAATCAAGAAACAATATTACTATACAACCAACATATCTGACCTGTGTTCCTTATATGGTAAATAAAACATACAACTTAAATATAAGTCATATTAATAGTAATTAATATCCAAGTAATGGTAAAAACAGTGAAATACATAAACTTTGTAAAAAAAATTGCTCAAAAATATCAAAAACACATTTAATATTAGTTTGAACTCCATTCAAACTTAGAAAACTTTGCAATATGATAATTTCATGAAACTTGTGCAATAAATAAGTTAAAATTGTACTATCATGCATCAAACTTTTCTGTAATATTTCTATTATTACCTACTACAACATCAAGCAGGCATTTCCAGAAAACTTATAGAAACAAACAGCTCTAACATTACATACAGTAACAGTTAGTTCTGTTCAATATTTTTGTTTATTTTCATTGCAAACACAATAATTACTGAGAAATTAATGGTTTACATTTTAGTAGTACTTATATTTTCTTATTGCACTATTAAATACACCAGTGAACACTATATTGTTATTCTCAAAGTATAAGTAAAATGAAAGAGAACAAATATTAAACTATCACTATATCTTGATGTCAAGTTTCCTCATAACATATAAACAAGTCACTAATATATTTAATACACAATACATGATTTCGAAGAGGAAAGCATGCAAGAAAACGAAATTAGACAGTAAATTAAGTGGTACGAGAATCAATCAACCTTAGGTGCTGTTTTCCCCTTCCTGAAGGAACGGCGCTCACCATCTGGAGATTTATTACCTCGCTGGTAAAAACAGCTGCCAGAACTACCACCAGAGGGTAAAGAAAAAGGAACTGCTGGCTCAGGTGTTACAGCCTGAACTGGGCGAGGAGGACGTGAAACAAGCTTTTGAAGGTTGTTTCTTCGTTTCTCACACATCATTTGCACATCTTCTATCCTTTGGAGAACCTATAAAACACAGTAAGACATCTAGTTTTTTATTTAAGTACTGTAAAATCAACACCAAAAGTAATACAAAACAATCTTTTCTAATAAAAAATAATACAATATCACACAAAATGCATTGTCACCATAAGCCTTTCTTTATTCCTAAGTAAATAAACTTTATAAATAGTTGTATCTTTAGATTGTTTAAAAATAGTTTAATATAACAAAAGACAACTTTGAAAGAACTGTATAACATGCCAACAATAACAGACATGTAACACAACCATTCATAATTTTAAAAAGTTACAAGTGGTAGTTGTAATGAAAACATCAATTCTTGAATAATAAATGGTACTAGTGTTGTGAGCTGAAAGATTTTTGTGTTAAAAAAATAAGTAACAAACTAAGAAAACCTTTATAGTGTCATTAAGTTACAGATATATCCTGTCAATAGAAATAACACAAACTCATGACAAGCAAGCAGCCAACTCTTTGTACTCATACGTATAGTCATAAAGCTTCCATTATCTATGATGAAGTTGTTGTTGAAGTTTCAATATAATTGACATCTATTTAAGTTTGTTGGAAAAATATCTGGTATATAAAAATAATAAAATGTTTTTCATACAATCAAATTCTCTCTCCCCTCATTAAATCCAAAAATCTTTCGAAGTGTGCATAAAGAAATAAGAGAAATGACAGACACATTTCTTTTGTATGCATGCTTTGTGAATTATTCAATAAAATCTCAAAAAATTATAAATAATGTCTACCTGTTGCACTAAAGATTTAGTCTCTGGTGTAATCATATGTTTAAAGATGTTGTGAAACTCTCGTGGATTGTTTAACCGGAATTCATTAGAACTCTTGAGAAATGTTTCCAACTCTTCAAGAGCCAACTCAGCATACTCAGGCGATGAACATTTCTCAATCTGTTGACTGGCTAGAAGGTCCACACCTCTTGTACACCATTTGTTGGCCTTTTGGTGAATAAAAACGTTTCTGAAAATAATATACTAGAGCACTTCTATCTATCTATATTTACAGTATGTTTATCTACAGAAGAGAATGTTTCTATATTATAATCTATTCTGGATTGATTACTGCAAAGCAGTGATTTGCAGCAATAATTCTACATCAGAACCAAGATATTACATACATTAAACTGATAAGGTACAGTTTTAATGGTAGAAAAATGATTTTTGTTACAAAGAAGTTTCACAAACATACAGATAGTGTTTTTGTGCTTCTTAAGTAAAGTATGTTATATACCTATTGTTAATTTTCATTAACAAAAATGGCTATACAATTTAATATACTGAATGTTATTACTCTTTAGTTCAGTTTATTGTTTATTATTACAATTTTATCACTAAGCAATGTAGTGCTCAGTATATAGGAATGGGCCAGGAAAAAAATGGCCATCGCATATTATGTATTTGCTCATAATAGCCTCAGATCTCTCTTATAACAATCTAAGAGACTTTTATAAACACCTGACTTAGGTTTTTGCAGTTTTCAAAGCTATTAAGACCTTCAGTTTGGCCAAAAAACATCACTTTTGTAATAAAGTTTGTTTTGCATTGTTAGCTTAATATGTGTACTTAGGACTAACCTAAATCTCCTAAGCTGGCCAAACATTGTAAGATATTATAAAGATTATGATCATAAAATACTGTTAACAGTGAAGGTAACCAATTGATGAAACAATTGATTATAATTCTTTGATAGATTGTTTAGGCAGTGTACTCATTAATTAATTTTAATCTTTATAAGCATCAATGCTGCAAGTCATAACATAAAAGAGGATTCAAAAGTAAAGCTTAAATAATACAATCCCACAGAAAAGTAACAGTTTATAGAGTGAACAGTTGCTTATAGAGTAGACTTTGGTTTTGCAATTTTTGATCTAAATATATATCAGTATACATACAACACAAGAAACTAAACAGTGTATCACCAATAACTAAAATCAGTTTATAAACAACATATGTTACTAAAAAATTGTTTTCACTGTAGATCACTGATCCATAATGATAAAAACTAATTTTTCAATCATGCTTTATGCAATAAAGATACATTGATGTTCTTACGTTAAGCAGTATATGTGTTATAAATATACAGAAACAAGCAACTGTTTCAACAAAATTTTCTGAATTGATTAAGAGTAAAAAAAATAATTAAAAAACACATTCTAGTCATTAGACAGTTAAAATTACCATTTCAAAGATTCTTACTTGATTGTTGGCCTCTATAAATAATATACAATAATATTTATATCATAATTATTAGATGAAACTTAAGAATTCCATTAAAATAATAATGGTTAAAACTTAGTTAAAGACATTTTTCTACATACTACATACTTTCTCTATCCTTTCCTGTAAATCCCTGTGTTTCCAAAGAAGGTCAAATCTTAGGTCAAGTTTTTGCTGAAACTCGTTACATATTCTCTCTAATTCTAAACATTTGGGTGACACACAGTCAATGGCGTAATGTTTGGAAACAATCAGGTTTTTACCCATAGCCTGAATTTCTTTCATTCGATCAAAGTCGTCCTGAAGTGAATAAATCAAAAGCATTAGCAATATGTAGTAGATAACTTTTAATGCTTAGAGAATTAACATCTGAATCTTTAAATTATACAGAACTTTATAAAAGAAAGCATAAATCTTAATAGATATGAGATTTAAGATAGAGAAAAATTTTTAAAATAACAACATATTTATAACAGTTGTCCATAACTTTCAGAAAAAATATTTTTATCTGGTGTTATTTAAGTGGCCTAGTTTTTCTATCCAGATATACAATAACCTATATCAGCTGATTTACATTAGGCCTTGTTCATATTTTCTTTTTATAAAAATAGAAAACTTTCCTGTAAGTACAGTTAGTAAATTAGTACATATAACTTAAAGTTATGAGTATAATTCCTACTGAACCAGTTGAAGAACTTAAAACTTTTTAATTGTCAGATATACAAAATATTTATGGTTACTACATTTCACCAGGTTAACCTGGCATCATCAAATATAACAACTTCATGATGTCAGGTTAACCCAATGAAATGTTGTAACCACACATATTATACTCTGTACATCTGACAATAAACAAGTTTTAAGTTTTGCATAACAGGGTACTTCAACAATCCCCATTTTCCAGCACTTGTGTACTGTTTTGACTCAAATGAAAAATATTTTCCTCATCCTCGTGCTCACCCTTTAATATTATTGTTTTAATGTAAATATTTCTATTTGAAATTTTTATATAACATCATTAAGGTTTGACTCACAGGTACTTTTGCATGATGACACTGAAATAATGGGTGAATGCCATAAAATATAATAATGTCAACCTAATCAATATAAGTTCACAAAGCATGGAAAGAGTGAAATTATTAAGCTATACAAACATGTCACTATTAAAATTAAGAGCCAAAAATGAAATTGAAATAATTGGATAAAAAACTGTATGAGTTTGGTTTTGTTGAACAAATTCCCAAATATTATGCATAACAAGAAGTGGAACTTCAGATATTATTTTGATTTCTTCTGGCTTTCAAATTTAAGTTTGTGACATTTATTTGCATTTCTTTACTAAAATAAATATTTTTTTTCAAGTATTGTGTGAGTCTGCTTTTAATTACAAAATAATTCCTATGAAAATTCATCAAATAAGACTTGATGGTAAGAGTGTAATGAACAATTGAAAATGATTATAAGCCAGAAAAGTCACACATAAAGAGAAAATATTTTCCATAAGCTAGATGATGTACAGAGTTATTTTAAAAAAGTCATTAACATCAGGCTAACAGCTGTACAAAAATTATGCATTCCAAGATTGCTACAGTAAAAAAGAACATCATTACTGTATTGAGTTATATAAAAAAACAACAAAAACCCATTGGATAACTTGCATGAAATTTTGATAGTCAAACCAACTACTTCTCTGGCAGCTAGTTTCCAGGAATTTGAGTTCAGGATTTACATGAATTATTCTAGTAGGTACAGTCAAGCTCCTGTAATATAATGTATTATATTGTCCAATTGGTTTGGAATAACTCATTAGAGAAAGACATAACAAGTAAAGGTCAGATATAGAACAGGAAAAGACTAGAGCTTACTAAGGATGAAAGATGTCTTGCTCATGTCTTATCCAGAACTTCCTCAAGAAATTGTTGATTCAATAGCATGTTATCAGTTCACTTAAGATGTTGAAGAAAGAAGGATGTACTTATCAAACTGAAGCAAAGTAAAAGCTCTAGTACATAGGATAAAGGTGGTACAAAGTATGAGCAGTCACAAAACATGGATTAGCTGGGATTGAGGAGTAAAATATTGCTGAGTTGAATACAAAGCTCCATTCATGATAAGGAATTCACTTTATTTTTTAGCGATTTTCCCAATTATTAATAGAACAAAAAAAAAGAAAAGAAAGCCCAGTCACATGCTGATTACATTGGATTTAGAGCCACTAATATTTGGCAAGACATAATATCTGAGAATGTAAAACTACCTTCACAAATGAAACTAGACAATGGATTGAGAGGAAATCAAGTGGTAGTAAGGTTCCAGTTAAACTACATCCAAAATTCCATTTCATCAATTATAGTTCCTTTGTGAAAAATGTTTTTATTTGCGGTCAAATGTAAAGCTACACAATGGGCTATCTTTTCTGGGTCAATCACAAGTATTAAATCCTGATTTTTGATGTTATAAGCCCTCAAGTTTCCTGTTGAGGCATCAAGTACAAGATGGTAATAGACTCAAAAGAATAGTAGATTTCGAGAATAGATTTCATCAAAAAAACATGGATGCAAGTGAAGATTGGGATGCTGTTGAAGAAAGATTCAAAACTTGTGCAAAAGCATTGTTGATTGGAAAGACATTAAATGACCTGATAAACAGTGAAGGTGAAATAAGAGTTGCAAATGTGACAAGCTATTTAATCAAGATCTATAATTTATATAAGCTTAATAAAGGTGAAACAACAGAAAATTTGTTACACCAGCAGAATAAACACCATGAAATGAAACAAAGTAAGGACTTATTGCACTGGTAAGCTGTTAAGTCTTCAATAGTTGTGAAGGATTTGACAAAAACAAATATAAAACTCTACATAACCTATTAAGTGAATACCAAAAAACCTTCTTTAGTGGGTACACTAATTTAAGATGAACAAATTAGGCGTGACAGTGAATTTATATTGGATATTTGGTGCAAATACCTAAATTCACTACACTTCTACCTTTTAACTAACAAGAATAAAACCTTTTATTAAAAGTTATAAGAAAACAGAGTAGACCTTGAGCAGTAACTAGTGATAATTTCAAGGTTACACCTAGCACACAATTACTTGATCACTGCAACAACTAAAGATTTGAGGACTTAGTATTTAAAAGAACAAGTGTAATGATTTATTACAGGTGGAAAGAAGGAAACAAGACATGTTGTTAAAACTGGAGTAAAAATAAAACACTTTATTTAACATAGAAAAGGTAGAATGGATGTGTATGAGACAGTGAAAAATTAAAGATGAAGCAAAAATGAAGATGAAAATTTCACAGCATGTTCTGGGTTTTTTTGAAATTGAAACGAATCTGGAATGAAATTGCCAAAATGCATTCACAATACACTCTTTCTCTCCAGAGAAAACTGATCACAAGATCCAGAAATTATTTATGTTCTATGTGACAGTAGTAAAGCAGTCCTCTCTCTCTCTATATATAAGGTACATTATACAAAATATGGTACATTATGAGGCAGAAGTAGGTGAAAAAAACTGCAGAAAAATGTGTTTACAGAGGGCTTTTGACTCTGATAGTCATTATTTCTATAAGTTGGAATGTGTAATTTTCCATTTTATCTAAAGATTAGTAGTCTGTGTTTTATCTGGATTACCAAGACACATTTTCTTCATTTACCTTGAAAACTGTGTAATTCATGCAAATGTATTTCAGCAATACCTATGTTTGTTAGTAAAAAAAAACTAAACTTAAGCTAAACACACAGATTTTTTTTCTAAAACTTACTTTCAGTTGAGAAGGAATGTCAGCAAATAAAGACTGAAATGGTATAGAACTGATAGACATCAAGAAGCATTCATTAAGACAGAAAATTTTTTAATATGTACTCTTTCCATCCCTTATGTGAAGTCAATTACTGACAAAAACCCTTCTCATCACAAAAATATAGAAGTGACATAGGAAATGGGGGGCCAACGCCCAACCCCCACTTTCCAATCTGTCCCAGTAAAAATGCATCAAAATTAGGAAAATTACTCTCAGGAAAAGCAAGAGAATGCATAAAATTAGTCCAGAACACAAGAACATTCAGGGCCCTAAGGTGAGCCTTGGACCCCAGCAGTAATGGGTGCAGATTCTCTCACTTTGCTGGCTTCAGCCTAACCACTTTTAACTTGTCTCCTATGCCTCTGCATAGACTACACTGCAAACAAATGTCTACAGGCATTTTCTTCCTTAAAGAAAACCTTACCCTAATGCCAACATTAGCTTTTCCAGCTTCTAAGAAACACTGATCTTAGAGAGAGACATAAGTCAGTAAACCCATGAAACTATCCCCCATAAGAAGATATTCAACAAAATGCTTGGAGCTTTTAAACAATACATCTGAGTTGAGAGTAATTTACACCACTTCCAGTATTTACATAAATTTACCTTCCAAACTTCCCATGCAACAATAAGATGATTAATGAACTTTAAAAACCCAGAATACAGAGATAAAGTTATAGGAGTATATGTTTCCCATAATTCATTCTTACAGAAAATTTAATGCATTATGTGTATGTGTTTCCTTATAGCAAAGCCACATCATGCTATCTGCTGTGTACACTGAGGGGAATCGAACCCCTGATTTTAGCATTGTAAATCCGAAGACTTACAGCTGTCCCACCAGGAGACTTAATGCATTATCAAAGAAGTCTTTCAGTTAGGTGTACCTAGAGTGATACATGGGGTTACAGACAAGTGAAGAATTTAAGAGATGCTGAAAGCAAATTCAAGGTGCTACATACATTATTACTGAGACTACAAGTAAGTGGATTAACAATAAAGCAGAGAAGCTACCTCGCATAGAGTACCTTTTGAAAGTCCACAGACTAAAATATATATTTGGGGTTTCACTTAGAAGCACTCTGTCATTTTCATTATCTTCTGCCAGCTGGCAGCTTTTGTATTAAAGAACATTTTGTAGAAAGTATTGTTACGTCTCCGTTTGTTAATTAACTTTCCGTAACTTCGTTCCGACGAAACTTAACGACACAAGTCCTTACTTAATAAAACTGGTTTATTCTTTCTGAATATAACTTCACGATACACTTATTTTCAACAATCGCTCTTTTACAAACGTTTTAACAACGAACGTTAACTTCAACAATACGTCTCTCTCTGACTGCAGTTCAATTACTCATTACCTACACACACATTCTTCTCCCGTCACATTGTCACCCTCTTTTATATACCAGACTACCCTATATCTAGTAAATACTAGAGCATTCGCCAAGGTACAGGATAGTTATAGAAAATAGGTGGCGCCACACCAGTCACGTGACCTCGATCACGCAACAGTATGTTAAATTTTACACTGGCTTAAAGGTCACAGCTCTGTGGAAAAAAGAAGCTGAGCCTGTGTCATGAAACAATGAGAATCAAGAAGAAACAATATGAACAACTAAAATGTAATAGTGCTGGAGGATTACTTGAAAGAATACCTGGTGATGTTTTAGGTCAACGGCCACAATAATATAAAGAAAATTAATATGTGATTATCAAAGGCATATTCTATATAACACAATGAGGCTGAAAAAACTGGGATAGAAGCTGGGTGATGGACATATATGAAAGTAAGAAGCATCCACAGAACTTTATCAAAGACAAATATTTTGAATTTTCTAAAATCCTAAAAAATAAAAATAAGATTATAGCTTTCATTCTTTTTTCAAACATATTTTTAGAATCTATAAAGTTCAGTCCAGAAAACAAAGTGTTATTTGACTACCTTTATGGTGCCTTTGAGGATAATATGGTTATGAGCAAACCTAACTACTTAGAAAACAACAACCACTTGATTGATACTGTTAAAACTGTTTTTCCATTACAAGTTAAAGGTAGCTAATGGCATAATTAAAAAGCAATATAATATTACTGGTGATAAGATGAGGTTCCAGTGTGGTAATATGATATAGTTATACATGTACAGCCCAAAATACTGATCTCCAAACTGAAATGGCAGAAGAAAATCATTATGTAGGCTATGGTATTTTTAAAGAGATTCCATCATAATAGAAATCAGAAAAGATGAATAACCTCATGGATTTGGTTCATCGATAGGTTAAGAATAATAAAATTTAAGAATATTGAAAATGTCAATGGAATTTATAACTTAGGAAGTGGTAGTGCTGTACAGTTGCAGGTTATGTTACTGTACCAATGTCTTCAACATCAGGCTAGTTAATGTGGTGTTAATCAAGATCATGAAAAAGCTCTAAGACTGTGAGTGATATGTCAAACAAAAGAGTATCAATATCAAAACTCATTTATTTTAAAAGTGATATAACAGTTATAAATGCTCAGAAAATAGAATGCTGACATGTTAATAAGAGCTAATTTATCTCATTAATTAAAGTAAAAACTTATGATACATGAAACTCAAGCTAAGTCCTATGAGCTACTGAAGCATGAGCTATTATCAAACGTAAACAGTAAATAATGCCAGACAAATCATACCAGATAAAAATAATGGAAATATAAAGAATAAAAAAATGTTTTCTCACTACTGATAGAAAGATTTTAACCAATCTAGTTAAGCAGTTGCATAATCAAGTCTCTTTGAATCTAAAACAGCCAAGATTTTGTAAACTATAGATGGTAAATATAGTCTTATAGATATTAAGTTTCAAAAGCCTAATGATTTTACCTCAGTCTGTAGCTTAAGTTTCTCTAATTGTCCAATCAGCAAGTCAATCTGCAAGACAGAATCTCCTGATTCAGGAAAGCTGTACAATTCTCTGAGATTAGTGGCCATGTTCACCTGAAGCTATATTCACAAATGATTATTATTATGCATAGTTATTAATCAATTAAAAGCACAAAAGTAAAATAAAATATATCCACCTAGTAAAATAATGACTGTTCTAAAAGTCAATGACCAAGATTTTTTCAACTGATACGAAATTAACTTCTGACTATATCAGATTGTTTTTGTTGTTAACTTGCATCATAGAACAAGTTATGTATTTAATTTTTTCATAAATAACTCACACATCCTTTCACTTAATTGAAGGTTGTTTTGTAGGCTATCTCTCTGCAAGAAGTAATCTGCAAGTAACAAATAACTAGCTGCACAGTCAAGAGTAAAAGAAGCTTTACCTAGAATTAATGTCTAAATTACACAGAGGTCTATCCAGAAATTTTGCATCATTTTGTCATACATGCTTTTAGGCCCAAACAATGTTCACACTTATATCATGTAAAGCTAAGTTATTGGCAACACCTGGCAATAAATATACTTAGCAAAACAATACTTCTGGTTTTAGTGAAATTATCTCCATTTTGTCATGTATTAATCCTTCTATCTCAAAACCTCTTTTGTCATATCCTTGAAAAGTTATTTACACATATTATAACATACATAAGTCTACCTGAGTACAAAACGGGAAGCAAACGAAACACAATATAGTGATAAAAGTGACTAAATATTTTACAGTTTTTGCTTTCCATTTCTTTCTTTTATTATTTTAAAAATATTTTAATGATGAAAAAATCCAAAAGAATCTTGCAAAATAATACATTTAATCACATGAGTATAATTTATGGAGTGTAGAGTTACGATTTCTAATTTACATATATAAAATACCATACTATAATATATTATTTCAATATGTGACTAGCTTTTGAGCAGAATGTGGGCTACATTCTACAAATTCATTTTTAACTATCACTCAGTTTCAAAGTTTCATAAGTATAACAACTATAAAAATGCTATTCAAACTAGAATGTACAGTCACTAACTTAAAATTTACCTCTTTGAACTCTTGCTCAAATCTTCGAAGCTCAAGGCACTGAGACAGTTTGTTTTCATGGTCACTCCAAACACTGTCAAACCCATTTTCTGTTTCATTCAGCTGAACTAGTAGTCTGATCATGTGGTAATAAATAAACAAACAAGTTTTCATGGGAAATCAGTAAAGTCATGATTCTTAGAACTATATAACATTCAAATCCAACTTAAAATTGAAAAAAAGCACTTTTGGAAAAATTTAAATCTCAAATAATGAAAGATATCTACATAATACATATTGTTGCATTAGTGAGGTCATGTGACTAGTATCACGCCACGTCCTTCTCGAACCTTCGTGAATTGTCGGTAGACTACTAAATATGTGTTAGTCTTGTATATATAAGACGGTCACAAAGTGACGGCAACAATGTGCGTAATTGAACTGAGTATTATTGAGGCGAGCACGTGAGACATTCGTTGAGAATTAAAGCGTTTGTTAT